AATATTTGAGTAAAAATATTTCTTAGTTTAAAATGAAAAATACCTTTTTTGAAGTGGATGAAGAATTACAAAAGTAAATTGCATTTGTCAAAATTATTAATAAATAAGCGTAATTTAGTTAACTAAGTTTCGCTTTATATTCTTACCTAAAATGGATGATATTATTTTGAGTTTGATATTGAGCTAAGTTTTTTTTTACATTTTGTGGAAAATTAATTTATTGAGTAATCCAAAATTTGCCTATGGTGCTAATTAATGATACGCTAAGGTAGATATACTAATTTAAAAGAGCAATGTAATTATTAAGATTTGCTGTTTTTTTAAATACGCATCCTTGAACTGGTGGAGTTAGTGACTGTTAGTAATGTAGCTTTATTTTTGAAGCGCGAGTGACTTGCTTCATCTAGATTACACGTTATTATAATGTTTAAATTACTTTCCTTCATTTTATCGAGGACAAGTTTGATCCGTTGAACTGAGACTATTTTGATGTTTAAATTTTGAAATAGACACAACCTGTTATACGAATATATATTTCCAAAAACGTAATATATTTTGAAGCTGAAGAATTTATTCTAATTGGAATTTACTTACCTAATTTTATATCGTCAAGATGAATGTTTCGATCTGATAATTTGGTTCATCTGCAAATATAAATAAAATTGATTTATTACATATTTGATTTACAGTTCTAATATCATTGCAAATGCTATTTCGATCTAGTTGACCATGAATTTTATGATACCTCCCAAACGTTTTACATTAAATTAAAATTTGATGTGCCATTCGTTTTACAGATTCAACTTCGAAAATACTATTAGAAATTATAAATGTAGTTATAAAAACCTAGAAGAAGTTGTAAATGAGAAATTAAGATTATCTTTATATGTAGTACAGGTTTATTGGATTTTTGTAAAATGAATCATGTATTTATTTAAAATTCACAGTGGAATTGACTCAAAACTTAGGGAAAATACATCAGTTTAGCCTCTTATGTAAGATGGTAAGTTATATATTGACAGAAATTGTCTGAAATTTTTAGTTTATCCTGAACTACTGCAGGGGTTTCAGAAGCTTAATAGGTACTAAAGGTATATATTTAGCCATATCCAAGCCCCTTGAGCTTCGGTATTTTAATTGTATGTTTTGTTTTGCAGATTGTCTGATTTAGGTACCCCTTATCCCAAACCAATTTTCGCATTCTCCTAAAGCCAAATCATCCCAGATCCTTAATTATTACATTACATTTTCTTTGTCCTTTTTTACTTCTCTTTCTGTTTCTAATATGTCCCTAATTATCTTTTTATCATAATTACCTAGAAGCTGATATTCACTTTTACTACAAAAAGCTTTAAAGAGCTTTTTTCCAAAAGGCGAGACGACAAATAACGAGAATTGCAACAGGTTCAGGCATTTGTGAAACGCTTTTATGACAACTTCCGGTCATTCGCTTATTCAAAGCCACTGGAGCGATCGTGGGCGCTGCCTGGACGTGTAACATACCGGATTTTACCTGCCCATCTCTCCAATTCATATTATAAAAGATGCAATAATTACGGTCTTGGTGGTAGTATGCAGAAGTAGTTCAAGTTTAACACCAAGCGTCACGCCTTGTTGAACTAGAATAACAATGCTGTAATTATATTTGCTAAATCGCTTTAAGTTCGAATGAGATTTCAATTTCATTCATTCTCCGATGAATTGGACGTACTTGGGTATTTTCATTCATATTTAAGTGAAAATAAGTTTTCTATTGGATGCTGAAAAGTATGTTTTAGTGATATTAATATTATATATATTTCCTTACAAGTACTTTAAAATAAAAATTGTACAATTATTTTGCTACCTGTTGTAATTAAGCATGACGAAAACTCATGATGGAAAAAGCAAAACGATATTTTGAAATTAATTAGTATTAATGGAAGTTGAAGGTTAAAAGTAAAGGAAAACAAAGATCCAAAGAACTTTAATTGATTGTTACATTTGGAATTCTTAAGAACTTCAATTTACTTGTGAACAATCATCCTTGCTAAGAATTAAAGAGAATTACAATTAGTTACACATTATTAGGAAGTAAATTAATTTTCAATCATTAGTCTGGAAAATTATTGTCAGATAAACTTTAAACAACATAAATTTGCATGAAATGAAAAAAAAAAATTATTAATAATGTTTAATACAATAAACTTTGCAAACTGCTGAGTACAATTAAGCACTTATTGTATATGAGTTAAATAAAAAACTTACAAGGATTTAATTTGTTTAAATAAGTTTTAGAACGATATTGTGTACTTTCGGACTTTTTTACGAAATGAAGAAAATCCTGGAACTTACAAATAACCTACGGAATCAATTTTATCACACAATACTTTTCTTTTGCAAAATTCGACTGAATATTTTAAATAAAGAAAAACTGTAATTTTTTGTATGATGATCCCCCTTCCCCCTATCACATAGCGCGTCTGAGTAAAGGTGAAGCTATTTAAATCACAGGTTATGTAATTATTTTGAAAGCTTCTGATAACAACATTATTGTCAACAGTAAATAATTTTTATTTTATTGTTTACTTCCGTATAAACATTTTCCGTACGCGAGCGATTTAACAATCCGTTTATTTAGTCATCAAGTTCGTCTAAGTATTGCGCTGTAACGGATTTGCTAATTTGCAACAGTAAAGCGTCGTCTTTTTACTTTCAATTTCTTCGGTCGATTATACGTAATACTATTTAGTTAGTTGGTTCTACATAGTGCAATATCTGACATATCGACTTATGGAGGTCATCCGCAGCTCATACGATTCCTATACGCTATCATTGGCACGCTTTTCGCAAGTTGCTCGTTCGTGTTTCCACAAGCGTCAGCGAGGAGCTTGAAATTGTCCTGCATCTTCTTCGCCTTTGGCCGAAGAGTCCCCCGCTTCCGATATTGTTCTCCACATCTCCTTTCACTAGCTCCACGTCGGGATGAGACTCTTCAGCACAGTTGGTGTCCGGATAGCAAACATGAGGGGTACCGGTTTAATTGCGCTTATTGTGATACTGGGTGAGTAAAAAAATTTTTTACTGATATATGATTTTATAATTACGTAATTTAATATGCACATGGGAAGTCGCCATTTTTGCGAAGTGTAAGGGAATTGATAAAAGTTCAGTGTAATGTTTTAAGTAATATTTTGATTTTTGGTGTTGCTTTATTAATTGAGACTTAAGCTGATGGACTTTTAAACTATTTTATATTTGTTTAT